GCCACGGTGCCGGGACCCAGAGGTGGTTTGTCTGAGGGACAGTAAAGAAAGAACACCGCCGGGCATGACTAGGTGTGCAGCTGCTGCCAGTCTCTAAAAGCCTGAGGAGGGGCACACATCTCGGTGTGTTGTCTGTGACCTCTACAAACTGCAACTGTTTACAAGGCAAAATAACTTCCCTTGGTGACTTTTCTGAATCACCGGCTGTGCCCCGTGGCTCCTGGTCAGCCTGTTGGGAGTTCTCCCGCTCGACACCTGGACTTTGCAGTGCTGCCAGTCCCCAGAGTGAAGTGAAGGTGGCATTGGGTGGTTCCTGCTCTCTTCATGAGCTGTGTTCTTCCGTAGGTTTCAGAGGAACATGCTGGATCTCTCTTTACAGTGGAGATTTGCCAGACTGCCCAACAATGCCAAGCTGGAGATGGTGCCAGTCTCTAGTAGAGTGGGACCTGAAAACACGGTAGGTTCGTTTCGCAGCATCACCCAGTTTGTTCGGTTGCCAGCTGTGCCGCATTCATCTCATCAGATCGAACGAGCAAGAGCAGGGTTAGGCTTGGCCAGTGCTTGAGTGGAAGACCACCCAAAGGCTGGGTGAGCTGTGGTGGGAGAATGCTAATTTAGCAGCTGGCAGTCTTTGCTTGCAGTGTGTGTGGTGGTGGAGCTCCAGCTGTGCGCTGGAGAGGTAGGGAGGTCTTTTGGGGAGCTGAAAAACTAGTGGTCATGAATGTATAAGAAGTTAAGCATCACTGATGGCTTTGCTCAGCTATTGAGCTACTCACTCAGTTGCCTTTCTAATTTCTATTTCAGTGGGTGTTGTCTGCCTCTAGTTTTTGACTAAATCTCAGATTTTTACAGGATTCTCTTTGGTTTCTTCCCAGCATCACTGTTCACAGTGTGTTCACACAGCATTAGGATTTTTTGTGACATGGGCTGTGTTCAGCAGTTGCTGAATGTCCCGATTTAGTATAATTTGCAAAGCGCTTACAGATGCCATCTTCTGTAGGAATTATTGTCATGTTTAGGAGATTTAAAAATCTTTTATGCATGTCATTATAACAGATGGAGGCATGATTTTAAAAACGATGCATATATGTTAACGAGCATAAATGTTTTATGTGCTGGAAATGATGTATGATCTTAGTTAAGTAGCCTGGGAATGAAAATTTGTCTGTTGCTAACAGTCTTCTCTCTTTGTGCTGACTTCCTCATGAGAAATTTCTCAAGTTTGGTGAAAGTTTCAGGTCTGCCTGGCAAGCTGTGTTAGTGGTGTTTTGTTATAGGGGGTTGCTTTAGCTGTCATAAACTGATATGTACTTTGAAAAGTGAGCTTTGTAGTGTGAGAAGGTTTTGGAATCTTTGCTCTAGTTCACTGTGACCGTGCAGTGTAGTTTTGGGGTCATCGATGTCCATGTTTTTCTATGTAAAGCCTCCATGTGCTTTGTTTTGGCAATAATGTTTTCTTTCTGACTTTGTGGTAGCAAGAAGTGTGCGCTCTGAATGACGTATTTAGTTAAAAAATACCACAAGCTGGTAGCATCTGCTTAAAATTTTCAGTTGCAAAAAGTTGTGGTGGCACGGAGTTCATCCTCCAGAGGAGAGTGTTCCTATTAAGATTGTGTAGGGATGACTTTTTCTGACATTTGCATCCAGTTTGGGAGGTAATGTGTGGAAGGAATGCAATGATTTTTTTTTTTTTTAAGTTTTTTTCCCCCCATGAAGATACATGCAGCATATAAAAAAGGATGAGAAGGACTGTGCACTTAGGAGAGGGGCTTTCACGTGGAATTACTACTTCAGATCACAAAAGGGCTAATGGCGGTTTGTTGTTACTGTTTAGTTAGTTGTATTTCAATGGGAAAATCTGCAGAAGCGAGGCTCCTCTTGGAGTGCTCCTTGCAGTTTTATGAAGTTGAGAAGATGTGGCAAATATGCTTGTGAAGAGCACAGTCTAAACAGAGTTGCCGTCCCGTAAACTGAGAGCAGAGACTTCATTGGGAAGAATTTTACAGACAGTATAAGAAAATACTTTGCACAGAACAGTTGACCAAAAGAATTCCCTACCACAGGGAGCTGGTGTCAGTACTGTGGGAAGTTTAAAGCAGCCGGATAACTGTGACCAGAACTGACACTGGTGATGTGCCCTAGTAGAGCGGCAGTGAGGATGTGGACTCGGTTGTGCTGGCTGGCTGCAGAAATGTTGGGATGAATTTGGTTCTGTGCCTTTTGTTATTGTCTCTTCTATTGAGATAATGTGCGTGGAAGTAGGCGAGCTTTCCTGTGATGTTGGCAGCAGTTCCCCCCTAGAGACAGAATGCAGGTTTCGTTAAGTCACGAGTTTGTTCAGCAAATCTGGTATTTTTAAAATAGAATGCTTCTGGATTTGCTTTCACATGTGAAATTCATTGATTCCTGTAAGACAGTTCTTTAGTGAAAAATTAACAAATTCCCCTTGTGATGGCAGGTGATGTAGGGGTACTATCAGTACAGTTCCAGCCTTTTGTTTTATGTTTGTAAACTTAGAAGATAATTGGCACTGGTCTCTCTGGTATTTTACATAGAGCCTGGAATTTTAAAAAAGGTTTTTTCTAATTCTTCATAGGACTTTTGTGACATACTTAGCTTTGAACTGTTGCCCAGAACCTGATGCAACTGGTAGTCTGAATTTCTGGACTGCATTCTTATAGAATGGTGATGTCAGCTGTCATCACTCTGCTGTAGCCGAGAATAATCCAAGACTTGTCTCCAGCATAGGAGAAGCCAGGAGGTTGTGTTAGTAGTGGGATGAAACAACTTAGTTCTGTTGGCTAGTTGTTGATGATGCCACTGTTTTCTTTGTGTAGAAAAATTCCCGTCTCCAGCAGATCGCAGTTTGCGTTCCTGCAAGGACGGGTAGGAGCCGAGGCAGATGACAAACATTCCTCCAAGGAAATCACAGTCGATTGCCAGAGCGAGTGGGGTCAATTTTTTCCCATCTCTGTCTTTCCCCCTTGCAATGCTCACACACATCTCGTACTGTGGCAGGGAGAGGGAGGATGGACTGAGATTGTTGGTAGGACGTGTGAAAACACAGAATGAGAGAAAGCTTCTATTGATGGCCTGGGCTTAGGTCCTTCTCGGACTTTTGAATAAGGCCAGTTTCTGGGCGCTTCAGAAAACCCTAGCTGACTAGAGATACTACATACTACCTAATAGTGACTTTCTTAAAAAAAATAAATTTCTTTAAGTTTACTCAGTTAGCTCACCTGTCTAGAGATTTTGAAAAAGAGGGGTGAGTATTGAGAGACCTTGCTGCTCTCTGCAACTCCCTGGAAGGAGGTTGTAGCGAGGAAGACGTTGATCTCTTCTCCCACGGTAGGACAACAGGAAATCCTTCACAGCAAGTGTTTCGAAGAAAGTTGTGGTGTTTTGGTTATCGGGTTCTAGAGATCACTGAAATACTGAAGTTGTGAAGAAAAAAGGTTTTAATTCAATTTCCAGATTAATTCAGTGTATTTCTCCTACAGGTTCGAATTGCACTACAGTTAGATGATGGCTCCCGTTTACAAGACACCTTTCTTTGTCAACGGACTTTGTGGGAGCTTCTCAACCATTTTGCAAAGACCAGGTGAGAAATGCAGTGAGAGAATACTTGTTTGGATGGATATCTGCATGACAATAGTTAGTTGTTACAGTGTTCCAGCTAAATCCTGCACATTTGTAGAATTTGTATTTATTTGAGGTTTTTCCTTTACGAGACAGACGTTTGCCTTTTCCTTACTTCTTCAGATTTGGTACTAGAATCATTTTTACTGTTTAATCCTGGAGTAGCCCTCCTGGTTCAGGGTGTAAACCGGTGACAAACTGCTGAGGCTAGAAGAAACTGTCCTTGGATATGTTGCTGCACCTGTCTTTTTACACAAACTTGTTTGAAGTCAAGTCACTGCCAGAGGTGAGGGCGCAGCCTAGACTGTCTTGATCACCAGTTATTTTGTGCTGCAGTTCCATGTCGTGGAGAAAGCTCTTCCTAAAGGGAGTTGCTCTTGCTTTTAAGGTTTGCTGTTGTGCATGTTCTTCACGGAAATCCGGAGCTCTCAGCAGGCTAAGGAGGAATCTTCGAAAGACTGATTAGGTCTTGTTTAAATGGAAGAATTTCTGGTCCTATATTTACTGTCTGTATACCTGAGCGAGAAATCTTTTTGTCTGAGTCCAGTCTACATTCAGTGCTTCCCTTTATCTTTAGTTTTGACTTAAAAATACTGTACTGACAAAAATACTGTATTGTTTTGAAATGTTAAGCTAATAAACTTTTCTCCAAAGACGGTTCCTTTATTTTTGTCATGGCTGGAAAGGTGAAGCCTTGAAGCTGTAACAGCCATTCCAGTCTGAACAGAATCCGTAAATTTATTTTTTATATGGTAGTGGGCTTTAGCTTTCTCTTGATAACATTTTTTTTCAGATTCTGTGTTTCTACCTTATTCTTCCTCTTGCATTCCTCACCTTCTGCTAGTTGCTCTGTTGCGTTTGAATCTCTTGCTCATCCATACAGATGCTGTGCTCTGGTATTGTGCCAACAGGAACTATTTCTATTAATTTCTCAAACCGGTTAAATACTCATCTAAAGAGATAGTAGCTTTCTGTGTCAGAACTTCTGAAATCTCCAGGGCTCTGGTGCTAGAAAAGCTGTGAAATGAGTCATCAGCAGCAAGGGTGATGGTGCAGTAGCCTTCGGGTAAGCTCAGCCTTTTAGGCTACAGCTACAGGATGCCGAGTGGTGGGGTTGTCACCTGCTTGCTGAGCCATGGTGACTGACTTACATGTATGTGTTAGTGCTAGATTAACATGTACTAGCTCAAATTGCTTTAACACAAGTTTGAAGTTGTTTGTTCTACACTGCAGTTAAGATTGCTTAAGCAGCCTGGCTCTGGGCTGAGCTGGCTGATGTTGCCTCGTGAAGTCAGGGTTGCACAGTTGAACTGTGCATCTGGAGTTGCTCTGGAGCTGTTTCCAGGGAGGAGGAGCTAATTCCTCCAGCCTCCCAGTGATGTGCTGTTACTTTTCTCCAGGCTTAGCTCCCTGACTGGCCCCTGACAAGATCAGATGAGTCGCTAGTGCTGGCCCAAGGGATGGAGTTTGGATCCGGGGCATTTTCTGAGCAGCGGCAGTGGATTGAGCAGTTAGTGCTCATTTCCTGCCCTCGTGCTGTTGGTTCAGCTTTGTGGGGAGTTGGCTTAAGTAGCTGACTGAGCTGAGAAACAGTATGTTTCCCCACATTCTCTTTCAGGGAGGTAAGTGTCCTCACCCAGTTGCAGGTTGTCTTTCATAGGCAGTTATGACAAGAAGTGTAGCCTGGCTGGAAACCAGGATCCAACAGGAGGAAGCAGCAAACGGGTAGGAGTGGTGTATGTCAGTTTTTCTACTCCGTACGTTCTGTCCTCAGGCCATAGTTTGAGGAAATGCTAGAGGTAGTCTAGTGAATCCAAAGTGATATAAATGAGCCCTGCTTATCATTCTTTTTTCATCTGTAATGGTCAGGGACCAAGTCTACACTGTGGCATTTACTCTTAAGCCGAAAGGGACAGTCTTCATGTGAATGCTAGAAGGAAAAGAGTTACTATTTTTGTGATCAAGGAAACAGGTAGACAAGAAAAGCCAGGTGTAATTTTGCTGGGTGTTTTAAGGCCCCTCTTGTACCTTAGTAGATACTTTGAGTCCTCTGGGAAGAGAAGAGTGCATGTTGCAGTTTGGGAACTGGTGGGGATGATAATTATGGACAGTGACAAATAACCTCTGTGTGGCTTTCTTGCACATTAGTTGGTTATTTTTTTGGTTTAAATTTTGAGCTTTTTGTATAATTTTGCTCCTTTGGAGTGATTTTATTTGTTACAGGTTATTGTAATCCTAATAGTTAATGTATGTGCTGCTCTATTTAAGGCTGTAACTGCTACAGTGTGCTAAGCATTATTAACTTCAGTTCCAAAGACACAGCTGCTCCGTTCCACCCTCTGGAAGCTGAGCTCAGATGTTTGGATGGACTTTGCAAACTTTTGATTAAGTTCGACAAGCAGCAAAGATGTTGTGTGTGACTTAATCACAGAACAAGCTGAGTCTGTAACCATCCGTGTAGGTCTCCTGGGCTGTGCTGCTTTTCAGTGTGTATTGACTGAGCTGACTAACTAGTCGCCTCGCTGTTGACTTTTGCTGAATCCTGCCTTTGACTTTCCAACTGTAGACGTTTTCCTGGAATGCTCAGCTGCTCTAAGTGCGTGAGGGGAAGTATTCTAAATCCACTGGAATTTCCCCCGGGTTTCCAGCGTCCATCCTGGCTAATTGGGTCTGAAGAAGGTCTGGAAGCTATTGTAAGGCTGCTCCTCCTCTCAGCGTGCGGCAGTCCTTGCACAAGATGTTTACAGGCCCTGTCAGATCACTACATGAAGGAATCTAATCTGCTTGCCGTTCCCCTTCTGAAGAACAGCACATCAAAGAAATGACAGTGTGTTTGATGTGTGTGCTTGCCTCAGTGAATGCATGTAACGGATTAACAGCAGCTGGAGGAGGAGCCTGCTGGCTTCCAAGAGTTATACAAAAATAAGTCTCTGGGGGATCTTTGCTTGGAGTCTGTTCTGCAGAGACTGGTTGAGGGCACCAGCGTTGTGTACCCTTTTAGCACGAGGCCTGGGAGAACTGTTGCTTTTCTGTCTGCTGCTCTTGCCTGCCTGGCAGCCTCAGCAGCTGTGTGAACTGGTTTGCCTAGAAGTGATGGCAGTGTGGACACTTGAAGACAGTTTTGACAGTGACTATGACTCTTTGCTACTTTCGTGGTATCATTCATTAACCTCAGATATTTTCCATACATTTTTAGAAGACTCCTCAATCCAAAGAGTTGGTTAGATTGAAGTGGAAAGCAGTTTTGGAAAGGTGAATGAAACTAGGTTGTGTAATTCAAACTGGTTTCCTCTGTTATGGGTCTCTGTGGTGAGGATGCGTGTTCCATTGTGCCTTGGCTTCCCTGCTCCTAAATGATGATCCTCCTGGTAGACAGGCTACTTCGGATTCAAACTTTTATTATTTATTAGACTGTTTGGTCTGCCTTTTTTGGTGATTCTGTACTGTTTCCTCTGTGTCTCAGCAGTCCCTTATTTTTTGTGGACTGTTACTGAGATACAGCTGATCCCGGTTGAAAGCAAAAACCATTGAAAATGAGGTAGGGATGACCAGCTGTCCTAGGTTGTCTGGAGAAGTCTTAAGTGCGCCTAGCTTGCTGTGGTGTGCTAAAGATAATATCTTAGGTACTTTGTTGTTCCAATCTTCCAACCAAGAGGGTTTTTTTCCTGCCTTTTGTAGTCAAGCGTTGGCCTTTGGAA